ACACAGGAGAAAAACCATATAAATGCATGGAGTGTGGAAAGACCTTTGCTCTGAGCCATAGACTTACTCTCCACAAAAAGATCCACACAGGGGAAAAGCCATTTAAATGCATGGAGTGCGGTAAGACCTTTGCTCGAAGGTGTAAACTTATTACCCATAAGATGATCCACACAGGCGAAAAGCCATATAAATGCATGGAATGCGGAAAGAGCTTTGCTCAGAGATGTCATCTTATTTCCCATAAAATGATTCACACAGGGGAGAAACCATATAAATGCATGGACTGTGGGAAAACCTTTACTCATAGCAATGGACTTAGAAACCACAAAATCGTCCACACAGGAGAGAAGCCATATAAATGCATGGAGTGTGGGAAAAACTTTACTCATAGCAGTGGACTCAGAAGACACAAAACAATACATACAGGAGAGAAACCATATAAATGCATGGAGTGTGGAAAGACCTTTGCTCTGAGAAATAGACTTACTCTCCACAAAAAGATCCACACTGGAGAAAAGCCATTTAAATGCATGGAGTGTGGAAAGACCTTTGCTCGAAGATGTAGACTTGTTACCCATAAGATGATCCACACAGGTGAAAAGCCATATAAATGCATGGAGTGTGGAAAGACCTTTACTCAAAAAAGTAGCCTTATTACCCATAAGATGATCCACTCAGAAGATAAACCATTTAAATGCATGGAGTGTGGAAATACCTTTACTCAAAAAAGTAGTCTTATTACGCATAAGATGATCCACTCAGAAGAGAACCCATTTAAATGTATGGAGTGTGGAAAGACGTTTACTAACAGCAATTCTCTTACTTCTCACATCAGAATCCACACAGGAGAGAAGCCATATAAATGCATGGAATGTGGAAAGACCTTTGCTCAGAATGGTCATCTATCTTGTCATAAAAGGTTCCATGCTCAGGATAAAATATATAGTAATAACAATTCCACTTTAGACTTATATTCCACTCCACAAAGCTTTATAGCAGTCTTTGAGCAGTTTACAAAGTCAGCATATTGTCCACAGCAATCTGGGTCCTCATTTTACCAACCTGACAAAGATTAAAGGCTGAATCAACCATCAGCCAGTTGGGACTGAACTCCTGGCTCCTGGGCAATCAGCTTGCTGTACGGCATTCTAACTTCTGACCCACTGTGTCTATAGATTATTATGTATACGCATATTGTGCCTTTCTGCTCCAAATGAGACAAGATTGAATCCAACAAAGAGAAATTTAATGTGGAGAAAAGTTAAGCTTTTACACCTGGGCGGGAAAAACAGATTACATGAAACATGGCTCAAAAACAGTAATTGGGGGATCTTGGCAGTCCGAATGGATGATCATTTAAAAATGAGTCACCTATTATAATTTTTGTTTTCATCTCCCATTCATTCATTTATTAATGGGAGAAAAAAGAGGACCGGAAAAGCATAGAATAGGGTAAACAGGCTAAAAGAAGAAATTACAGGGCTGAGAGATTAAGAAATGATGGTTAAAGATAAAATAAAGGGGGGGCGGTTCCACATGGAAATGCATTTTAGTTTTTTAAAAATATAGATTGGGGAGTTATGACCTTTTAAAGTTTATTGGGATTTACTTAAAAAAAAAAGAAACAAGCTTAATTGGAATTAAAGGGGAATAAGAACTCACCGTCAGAATATTATATAATTATATGATGAGAAAAATGAAAGTAAAAAATTAAGATGATTTATTGTTATTAAATCTTTTTATTTTTACATAAATAAGAAATAGAAAATATAATTGATTATACAAATAATATCAGAAAAACAAGGAATGTGGTAAATTATAAATTATTATATTGAAAAGTATTTGCAATGAGATTGTTATGATTAAAAAGGTATTGAATGAAAAAGATAATTCCATAGCTAAAATTTGGTTAAATGGAAACAAAGAGGAAATATGAAATGATTATATTAATATCCTTGGAATAAATGTAAGATTCATTGTAGATTGGGAGGAAATACCATGTGGACCCTGAATGGGGGGGGAAGAGAAACATCTAAAATAGTAAATAGGGAATTATTGTTAATTGGAAGGTAATAATTAAGAATGATTATATTGATATTTGTTTTATTTTATTTTTGTTTGTTGCACATCGGCTTTGAGAAAGTAAAAGAAGAAAATATGTAAAATAAAATAGGTGGTAGGATGGAAATGACAATAATGGAATAAATAGTGGAAAATATGTTTTAGGATGAAAATGTTTTTGTTAATGGATTAATGAATGAAAAATATGAAGTGCAAATTTATTTTTAGAAAATGGAATAATGATTTGATACAAAACTAGATAAGAAAGCTGGAAATGTAACTGTGACTATGTATGTATGTTGTAACCTGGAACCACATTGCTCACTTGAAGAAATGTATAAAAAATAAAAATAAAAAATCTAAAAAAAATCCCAAAACAAGAAAAACGCGTTACCTGTCTGCGGCAGCAGCCAAAACAGCTAAGACAATCCTTTGTTCTATAAACAGAGGCATAGAATCAAACTCACATGAAGTATTACGTAGTACCATTTTATAATGCCTTAGTAAGACCACACTTGGAATGCTGCATCTTGTTTTGGTCATTAAACTTTGGAAAAAGTGCAAAGAAGAGTAGCTACATTGATTAAAGGCCTGAAGACTAAAACATGAAAAACTATTGCACAATTTGGGTTTGGCTAGTCTAGAGTTAAAAAGGATTAGGTGTGACATGATAGCAGTATTCCAGTACTTGAGAGGCTGCCACAAAGATGAGGAGGTCAATTTATTTTCCAAAGTACTAGAGGGCAGGAGAAGAAATAATGCATGTGAATGAATGTCCATCTGAGTGCAATTCCAAGTGGGGAGAAAGACACTGAAAACATGGAGACTGCTTGGAAGGGTAGTTTAATGGAGCAGAATCATTAAGCACATGGTCCTGTTGAAGCTAAACACATGGAGCGGAGAGAGAGATATATTTTTCCCTCTCTGTGGCCTTGCAAGAAATGTATTGGTTGTCAAACTCCCAGGGGTCTATGTGGGGGTCCAGCTAACTTTGTAGACTATCTGTCCCAGGCTTGTTTGAATCTTGTTGGGTGATGATGGAAGGAAGAGTTTTGTGTTGTGTTGTTGGTTGTTTCTGACAGGTCTGGGCCTTTTGAGGCCTCCCACAATCTCTTCAGGGTGGCTGTTCTTGAGGGAAGCGAGTTCAAATTCTCCAGAGATTTTTCTCCATATCCACAGAGGGTTCCTGCAGGAAGGAGAGGAAGATGGAGAAAGTGCCACCTCTGGAGATGATGAAGCCTTTGTCAGGCAAGGAACCCTTGAGAGAGGCAAGGAACCCTTGAGAGGTGCCTTTACCCCTACTCCCATGCCCACCATCCTGCTCTCTCCCTTCCACTCCGTCCTTTCTCCAATCCTGTGGCACTAGATCTAGAAAACCTAGAACTATGCCGCCTTTGGTCCGATCTAAGTATCGTATATAAAATCATACATTGCAACGTCCTACCTGTCACCTTCAACCATAACAACACAAGAGCACACAATAGATACAAACTCAAGGTTAATTGCACCAAACTTGATTGCAGGAAATACAACATCAGCAACACTGTGGTCAATGTCTGGAATACTCTACCTGACTCTGTGGCTTTTTCCCCAAGCCCCAAAAACTTTAACCTTAGACTGCCTACTATTGACCTCACTCCTTTCCTAAGAGGTCTGTAGGGGGCGTGCATAAGCGTACCAACGTGCCTACTCTCCGTCCTATTGTTTCTTTTATTTCTTTTATGCATCCATGTATTCATAACTATGTTTTTATTTATACCTATTATCTTGTAAGCAACTGACAAACCAAATAAATAAAATAAATAAGTGTCCTACAAGAATTGGTGGGACATCGCCACATATTGTGAATGTTAAAGAAGTTTGAGAGGGAGGGGTGAAGTATTCAAACACATTCTCCATTCCCTTTTGAGCTCCATAAAGTGCCTCACCTCCAACTCAACCTGCTCCTTCTGCTCCTCCGCCTGGCTCAGGAGGAAGCCTTCTGCCAGGGCCACTGCCTGGGAGCTGGTCTCTGCTCCACATTCCCGCACCCAACTCTCCATCTTTGGGGGCAGAAGGAACAGGAGCTGCTCCAGAACAACCAGGTCCAGCATCTGGGCTTTGGTGTGCTTTTCTGGACTCAGCCATCGCCTACAAAAGTTGTGGAGTTGGCTGCAAAGCCCATGAGGACCCTCAGCCTCCTGGTATTGGAGGCTCCTGGAGTCCCAAGGTTGAATTTTTGAGCGCCTGGTGGCTTCCTCCATCATACACACGGGATTGAACAAGGAGGAGGGCTGGGCATGTATCTCTCTCCCTCCTCAGCTTCCCTTTGCCTGGGAAGAGCCCCTACCCGGCCTCACGTCTGGATCTCTCTTATATGTATCTATGTTTTTACTTATACCTATTATCTTATGAGGAATTGACTAAAATAAATAAATAAAAACTTTGGCCAAAATCCACCCGAGGGCTTCTTCTCCAAGGACAAGAGAATTCCAGGCACTTCCCCTTTCGTCCACTGGGCGGCGAACGTGACGGCTGCCTTACCACTGGAGGCGGGCAATGGAAGTGACACTACAAACGCTTGCCACTCTAGGGCGCCGCACTCGCTCCCCTTAACCCCTGGGACTCCTCAGGCACCGGCGGAGAGGTTTCGGGATACTCTGGCCGGGGGTGATCCGCACGTGCCCCGGGTAAGGTGAGGGGGCCGGTCCCATGCTCCTCAGCCGCCCTCTTTCTGCAGGGGAAAGCGGAAGAAGCGGGGATATAAGGAAGGCGGCGGGACTCCCTTTTGCCCCGTATCCGAGGAAGAGCACAAGTGGGGCGGGGGGGGAGGGAGGATCGGTTTTGCGGAGGCCCAACAGGAGAGGAGAGAAGCCGGACGAGGAAGAGGCAGAATTCGCACCCGGCTCCCCGAGGGTCCGGTCCTGTCTCTGGAGTGGGAGAGAAGTGGGGCGGCCTCCCCAGCGCCTCCTTCCCGGCCCTGCTCGTGGGGGACCTGCGCTGGGATGAGTGGCTTGGGGCTCAGGGCAGGTTGGGTGAGCTGATTCAGAGTCTGAATTCCACTTTCTAATTCTTGGCGTTTGTTTTTCTATCTCAGATACAGAAACTCGAAGCTGTTTGAAACCTTTGCAAGCCAGAAGAAAGGAGGAGGAAGAGGAGGAGGAGAATAACTTTCAGGGATCCGTCCTGCGGCCTCAAAAATGGTCCTGTGAAGGAAAAGGCACCTGGAGATCCACAAGAGTCCTTGGACCCATTTGGAGTTGCTCTGCAGAAGAGAGAAAGGATGGAGACACAACCTTTTGCAAAGGAGAGAAATGGAAAAGGCCCTTCAGCTGTTCAGCCTGGGAAGGGTGGGGAGATATTGACAAGACCTGGGCAGAAGATCGTGGAAGTGAAAAGCATGCTCCCTTCAGAAATTCAGCCCTGCAATTTAAGGAGCCTCCAATACCGGGAGGCTGAGGGTCCCCGAGGGCTTTGCAGCCGACTCCATGAGTTGTGCAGGCGATGGCTGAGACCTGAAAAACACACCAAAGCTCAGATGCTGGACCTGGTGGTTCTGGAGCAGCTCCTGTTCCTTCTACCCCCAGAGATGGAGGGCTGGGTGAGGGAGTGTGGAGCAGAGAGCAGCTCCCAGGCGGTGGCCCTGGCGGAAGGCTTCCTCCTGAATCAAGTGGAGGAGCAGAAGGTGCAGGTTGAGTTGCAGGTGAGACACTTCAGGGAGCTCAGAAGGGAATAGAGAATGTGTTTGACTACTTCACCCCTCCTTTCCAAACTTCTCTGACATTCATAATATGTGGTGATGTAGGACGTTGTTCCATTGTTTTCTCACTCAACGACACAGATGGATATTAGGGGCTTTGAGGTTGTGTTCCAAATATAGGAATCCACTTTATTTTGTGTTATGCACATTAATTCTGCTTCTTTTTTCCTTCCTCGTACTGGAAGTGTTGCCCTGTGGAGATCAGAGATCGTGAGGGAAAGAAGAATCTATCAAATCCCCCTCAGGAGCTATTTTTCAGGAAGATCCCTTGGGCAGATTCAAGTCAGGACACCTCAGGAGGTAATTGATGATCCTCCAATTACCCATCTGTCTTATCTTTGCTATCTCTGCTCTTCCATAGAATACCTCTTCCTGTTTTGTTAATTATGCATTTTGAAATTACTTATTCCTTACAGAAATGCAAAGAATGAAGTTTTCTGGTTTTTCTGGTGGACCTCAAAGAGCTGTTGAACCTCCAAATCAAGTAAGAAAGGGAAAACTTTTTAGATTTGTATTCTCTCTTCAGGAAATGAAGGAAATGTGCAGAGTGCTGTCTCCTTTTATTTTCCCTCCTTGTTTGGACTGGATTATTTTTGTGTTCCTGAGTGACATAGAAAGCACAATAGTAGGTTCAAGTTACTCTCAACCAGCATAGCTTTCTCTGTAGAATATTACTGGGATACAATAGTTTGTCATTTCTACCTTCAGATTCTGTTTAGCAAAAGTTTTTTAAGGACCACAGGTTTACTGGTTCTGCTAGGTACTCCAACTATGAGTTTAGAAGAAATAATTTTTGAAAAGTGGTTCAAGAGAGAGGAATAGTGATAGTAACTGCTAGAGACCCGTTCTTTTTATAATTTTTTGATTTGGAGTTGTGCAAGGCTAATGAAAAATAACTAAAGACTCACGTTGCCGAATTACCATTTTTAAAAAGCTTTATTCATTACCAGTAGTTCAAAGAATAAGCAAATCATATTAAAAAATAAAGCAGGATGTTAAAATCCAAAGAGAATGGCCACGTAGAGCATGTAATCGTGGTACTTTGGGCTGCAAAATAATTTCCAATACTGTGATTTACGCCTGGATTAGGAGATCAAACATTCCTGCTTTGAAAAGCTGAGAAATGACCTCTGCAGAGTATTTTCTCCTCTTGGTTTTCTTCCATTCAGCCAATGCTCAGACTATTAGATCAATCAATAATAGACAGAGAAATAGTTTAGCTGATTCAGAAGCGGGGATTGCTTTATTCAGAATTGTCCATTTTCTCACCTAAAATTAGGACTTGTGTTAGTGCATATCTTTGATTTGGGAATTTAGGAACAATGGAGCAAAATAACTGAGCTGGTAGGGATCTTGGAGGTCTTCTAGCCCAACCCCCTGCTCAGAAAGGAAGCCCTATAACATTTCAGATAAATAGTTGTCCAATTTCTTCTTAAACACCTTCAGTGTTACAGCATCCACAATTTCTGGAGGAAAGTCATTCCACGGATTAATTGTTCTGTCAGGAAATTTCTCTTTGGTTGTAGGTTAGTTCTCTCCTTGATTAGTTTCCATCCAGTGCTTCTTGTCCTGCCTTCAAGTGCTTTGGAGAATAGGTTGGCCTTCTCTTCTCTGTGGCAGATCCTTAGATACTGCAACATTGCTATCATGTCATTCCTAGTCTTCCTGTTCATTAAACTAGACATACTCAATTCCAGCAACTGGTCCTTATGTTTTATCCTCCATGATCCTAATCATTTTGGTTGCTTTTCTCTGTACTCTTTCTAGAGTCTCAAGATCTTTTTTACATCCGGCAATCAAAACTAAATGCAATATTCCAAGTGTGGTCTGACCAAAGCATTATAAAGTAGAACTAACACTTCATGTGATCTTGATTCTATCTCTCTCTTAATGCAGCTTATGATTGTGTTGGGGTTTTTGGGTGTGTGTGTGTGTGTGTGTAACTCTAGCACACTCCTGACTCTTATTTAAGTGATTGTCCACTAGGATTCTAAGATCCCTGTTTCACTTACTTCTGTTGAGCTAGGTATCACCTATTCTATGTCTGTGCATTTAGTTTTTCTTTCCTAAATGTAGAGCCTAACATTTCTCAATGTTGTTTTTCATTTTGTTAGATGGCGCCCAATCTGTCGATCCTTCTATATCTTGAGTTTATCTTCTGGAGTGTTATTCCTGTCAGTTTGGTCTTGTCTGCAAATTTGATGAGTTCCCCTTTTATCCTCTTGTCTAAATCATTGATGAAGATGAACAGATCTTGCGAATCTTTCAATTCTGTTCTTTTTTCCGTGTTCAGGAGAGTCTTGTGTCCTTTGAGGAGGTGGCTGTGTATTTCTCGGAGGAGGAATGGTCTCGGCTGGATCCTGACCAGAAAGCACTGCATTTGGAAGTCATGGTTGAAAACCATAGGAACGTGGTCTCACTGGGTAAGAGTTTTCTAGTCCCCAATCAGAGAGTTTAAGAAGACAAATTATAGTTAGTTTTTTTTTTTAATTTTAAAAAATCACTAATCAGATATTGTCTCTTGGGAGGGGGAAGGAATGGATCTAGCCTTCTTGTACTCCAAGGAAGGAAAGAATTTACTGCTCTTTGCTTAGATGCTTTCTGTGCCATTTCTTATTCTATTTTTCCATTTCTATTTCAACTGGTCCCTTCCAACTCTGTTACTCAATCCATTCCATTTTATGGAACTGGAGGCTAAAGAACTGGGTATTTTGATGAAAAGAAAGATTAGGGGTGACATCATAGCAATGTTCCAATATCCTAGGGGCTGCCACAAGGAACAGGGAGTTAAGCTATTCTCCGAAGCACCTGAAGGTAGGACAATAAGCAATGGGTGGAAAATAATTAAGGAGAGAAACAACTTAGAACTAAAGAGAAATTTCCTGACAGAACAATTAATCAGTGGAACAAGTTGCCTTCAGTTATTTTATTCTACCCTATTCTACTCTATTCTTTCTTATGCAATCCTCAGTTCACAAAGAACACAGTGTCAGGGTTCCAAGTAAAAGTCAACAGAATCAAAACCCTGAGGCCACCAAGTTCTTCATAGTAAGAATTTATTAGGCATGCCATATTGGCACAGCTGGAGAAAACTCAACGGTCCCTAGGTTTTTCCCACCCAATTCAAAACCCAATGTCCTTTCCCCCAGTCCAAATGCCCATCACATGGGCCAATCATGTCACAGTCTCCAGTCCAGTTGTTTTCTGTCCACGCCTCCCCAGCTCCTGGTGAGGACGTCCTTGATTCACAGGGGAAAGAATTTTATTTTGGCTACAAAATAAAATTTTATTTTGGCTATCTCTATTACCCACTCCCGTTCCCACAGCTCTAGTGAGCCTTGCTGTGGCAGCCCGGAAGGCCTAAAGTACTGTAGTGTGAGATCAGTTGCGTGAGATCTTGCACTACTGATCTTGGGTGATCTCACACTAAAGCAGTTTAGCTTTCTGTTCTGTGCTAACTGAGACCTGTACATCTGACCGAAGAGCCCTTGCAAGCCAGTCAGACTTTGTAGCAATGAAGTACTCTTTCTTGAGCCTCCCAACCTTTCCAGTCTGGGCGCAAAGAGAGTTTACAAGCCAATGGGAGGCTTCAAGCAAAGGATTTCACCCCAAAATCTCATCACGGGGTTCAAGGAACAAGTTGAGCAGGAGTCCCGCCAGCCAGACACAAACCATGGAGCAGCTTCTCCAAGGTATACCAGGGAAAAAGGAACTTGTTTCAAAATTCTTTCAGTTCTCACAGATCTATACTGAAATTAACACACCCCAATAAACCTTTAACTTTTTCCTAAAGGAATTTCAGAAAAATTGAGAAGAAAATTTGTCAACTTTCTAACAGTTTGATCTTTTTCTCTAACCTTGTTATCACTTTCATTTCTCTTTTGCTTTAAAGGTGATAATGGACAGAAGAATCAAGATTCAAGTGAACTGTTCCAAGTGATCAATCCTAAAGATGGAACTGATAAATTTGGAATTCGAATGGGATTGGAAAGCCGTGAGATAAACCAGTCATATAATTGGAACCAGGAAAGCTCATCTTCCATTGATGCTCCGATGCAAGACATTCTTGCCCAAGAAGAGAAAATAAGGAAGAAATATATTGGGAAAAGTATGAAGCTAGTGAAATCTAAATTACATGTAAATGAACAGTATTTAACCCAAAACAAAGGAGAAGATGCTATAAGACACAACAGACAAAATTACAATGGGACATTCATTCATTCTCTTGGAAATAACTCCCTTACATCTCAAAAAGTGATTCACAGAAAAAAGGACCCTTATAAATGTTTGGAATCTGGAAAACATTTTAGAACAAACAGGCAACTTACTTCCCATGAAAGGATTCACACTGGGGAGAAGCTATACAAATGCAGAGAGTATGGTAACATGTTCAAAAGTGGTAATAATCTTATTTCTCATAAAAGGATCCAAGCAGGAGATAAACCATATAAATGCATGCAGTGTGGAAAAACTTTTACTCGTAGTAATGGACTTAGAAACCATAAAATGATCCACACAGGAGAGAAACCATATAAATGCACGGAGTGTGGAAAAACCTTTACTCATAGCAATGGACTTAGATACCACAAAATGATCCACACAGGGAAAAAGCCATTTAAATGCATGGAATGTGGAAAGACCTTTGCTCAACGTGGTCATCTTATTTCCCATAAGATGATCCACACAGGGGAGAAACCATTTAAATGCACGCAGTGTGGTAAAACCTTTACTCGTATCTATGAACTTACTATCCACAAAAAGAGACACATGGGAGAGAAACCATATAAATGTATGCAGTGTGGGAAAACCTTTACTCGTAGCAATGAACTTACTATCCATAAAAAGATCCACACAGGAGAGAAACCATATAAATGCATGGAGTGTGGAAAGACCTTTGCTCTGAGCAGTGTGCTTCGAAACCACAAAAAGATCCACAGTGGAGAGAAACCATATAAATGCATGGAGTGTGGAAAGACCTTTGCTCTGGACAGTAGGCTTACTATCCACAAAAAGATCCACACCGGGGAAAAGCCATTTACATGTATGGAGTGTGGAAAAACCTTTGCTCAACGTAGTCATCTTATTTCCCACAATATAACTCACACGGGGGAGAAGGCTTTTAAATGCATGGAGTGTGGAAAAACCTTTGCTCATAGAGGTAAACTTATGTCCCATAAGAACATTCACACAGGGGAGAAGCCATATAAATGCATGGAGTGTGGAAAGACCTTTGCTCAAAGTGGTAATCTTATTTCCCATAAGAACATTCACACTAGGGAGAAGCCATTTAAATGCATAGATTGTGGAAAGAACTTTGCTCAAAGCCGTTATCTGGCTTCCCATAGAAAGATCCACTCAGAAGAGAAACCATTTAAATGCATGGAGTGTGGAAAGACGTTTACTAAGAGAAATGCTCTTACTTCTCATAACAGAATCCATACAGGAGAGAAGCCATATAAATGCATGGAGTGTGGGAAGACCTTTGCTCAGAATGGTAATCTTACTTCTCATAAAAGGATCCACACTCGGGAAAAAGTATATAGCAGTAGCAATAGCAATTCCACTTCAGACTTATCTACCACTCCACAAAGCTTTATAGCAGTCTTTGAGCAATTTACAAAGTCAGCATATTGTCCCCAGAAATCTGGATCCTCGTTTTACCGACCTGGCAAAGATTAAAGGCTGAATCAACCATGAGCCGGTCAGGACCGAACTCCTGGCTCCTGGACAATCAGCTCGTACTGCATTCTAACCTCTTACCTAATCATGTCTATAGCTTTTTATGTG